GTCGTTTTCAACCTTAATTCTTTTGTTTTCGTTTGTTTGGTGTTTCACGCCGCACATTCCAGCTATATGAGGGCGGTCTGTAATTAATCGAGTCTGGACCAGGCAATCGAATGAATGACATTATGAGCATCGATCTTCTCAATTGGGATACGATAACATGCATCAACAAAGTCACCCAGCCTGACCACCCGATCCCGTTAGTCGCCTCTTACGACAGCATGGGTTGGTGAAGACCAATTCTAATTCGGTTCAGGTTCAAACTGACTTCAGTTTCCTTTAGCCAAGATATTAAAACCTTTTCTAAATCTAACAATGTCTACGTTCTTATGACCTTCAGTTTAATTACAATAGAAATGCCAATAATAATTACATTAATATTAATAAACGACTACAACTACTACGACGATCATGGATACGACGATAGCTACTACTAATCCTACGACCCATGACGACGATAATGCTTTGCTTCTGATAATGATGATGAACCTCTAAAGATTCCATAACTGGCTTTTGAAATTCTTCCGGATGGTGTCTGGGGCTTGTCAGTGACTCAGTCTGAACTCCACTGAACTGTATGAGAGGATGTTTGTGTTGTGTCGTGCTTGGTAAAGTCGCTGTGACTCCATTCTCCCGCTCACATGCTTCATAAGTATCGTGAGTCATTCCTGAATTGAAATCATATGTTTCCATCACACGAAAATAAATATGGTATCAGTAATGCAGCCAATTCATCTGCGGACTATGTATAATGTTTCAAGAAAACTATTTAAGCGTGAGTCCTTTTAGTTTGTAAGTTTCTACGGTTCTTTTTCAGCTTGGAACGCTAATGGTTATAACACGTGGCCATGATATAATGTTTACCAGTAGAAGGTTAAGAAAAAAATCGATCAGTGTTCCCTAGACTTTGGTTCAGGGAGGCAATAGCATCAAGCTAAAAGTGTATATATGGTCTTTGATGTTAAGGACGTGAAAATTTAATAAACTGTACCTAGTTTCAGACAGCTATCCACTTCCACGCTCTCCAACCCTTGAGATTGGCTGTCATCCCTGTGCATGACCCTGGAGAATAGCTCTGTCCCGGTGTTTACCTTCCTGAAGCCTATGGTGTTAAACTAATTCTTTGATGTACATACCTTGCATCTGGATCGTGACTCGCCCCTGTGTGTATTTAAGTAGTCTGTCACCACCTTGCGTAAATCATTAATGCGACCACACCGCTAGTTGCAATACGCACTGATGATAAAAGATTCGGATACACATCCTTTGCTTTGAGAGATGCACGAGAACACACATTATTGTCCTCTTTACGGTGGAGGTAATGTATATAGTGGTATAAACTGGTACTTGACATTTAAAAGAAAGTTTAGTTACCTGAACTTTTAGAGGTTTCAACGCTATCAAGTTTGTTGACAATTAAGACAAATTGCACCACGTGCTCCCTCGCTTGTTTAGCATGTTTAATTACCTTTTCTTTTAACTTTCTGCAATGTTTGAATGTAACAGGAAGTGTACTTATTTGGCCGAAATGAAAATGCCGGTATTCTGCAATCTTGAGGCATGCCCTTGTTGGACAAAATTTGAATTATTAAAATCAATTATGATCAAAGAGAATTTGGTTGCGATACCCCGCGTTACGGACGATATTGGAAGGTCTATATACAACCAAAAGGATATTTCTGCTTACCCGTTTGGCTGGAAATTTGTAAAGTCGGTAATGTGTCTGTGAGCAGTGCCGACTAACCTGGTGTTACAGACTCATCATAACAGTGTTGTGTAATAAACTGTCCAGGGCTCGTCCTCGCTTACCAATGAGCTAAATACTACCCAATTGTCAGCCTGCTGTTGATAGGGTCACGATGTCTACAGACTACATGTTTGTGGGACATATCAAAGATTGCGAACACCTGGTGTCATCACTGATTTTCAGTGATCCATTCATAAATGTTCTCCGCTATTTTGCCATTTACACCAAATCGAATTCGTTTCAATGGATAATCGAGACTGGTTATTCTCTGGCGTTGACGTTTTATAGTTTCAATTTCATTTCCTTATCGGTTAAGGAACTAATCAAGAATGTATTTACAACATGCGATTCAATACCCAAGGAATATAGATATATTATTTTATTTAGATTAAAAAACTAAGAACGCTACGATAATAAATTGTTAAACTAGCTTTCATAGGGTTTTATGTGTATCGTTGATATGTCTGTGTGTAAAGGTGTAAAGTCATTGACTCCACCAAACAGCTTTCCTCCTTCTCTGGGACCTTTGTGTTGACGTGGAACGTGGGCCCCCATTGCAAGCCCCAATATCCTAATCACCCCGAAACTGGTTTTGACAGCCCAAATGGACTCTAACGGGAACTGCTATTTTCGTCCATAATGGAATCTCTTTATTCGCATTTTTAGCCAAATCTTCCACTTTTATTGACCTCACACCATGAAAAAATACAATCCTTTCCGAGAGTCCGCGAAGCTGTGATTTCCATTGTCATGAAAGTGTGCATACATCACATGGTGGGGAGTAGAGGCAGAGCTTACCATTAATGGAAGATAGGAGCTATAATTATGATCGCGTCCTCCACTTGACATGTTTAGATTGACTTTCATCAATTCTAACTTAAGAATCTTCAGCAGCAATTGCTACTTTAATCAATATTTCTGCAAAATGTGCACCCTGCAAACGTGCAAACAAGTGAGGACTTGAGGCCCCAGTGGCGAGATGGTTCCTCCAACACTGGATGTCGTTGGTCCTGCTGATTGCCTTGGATGAAATGGAGCGATAGCTATGATATGGCAATTTGTATGCGGAAGGAGTGTTGCTTCGTTATGAAACTATTTTTGTCCGTCAATTGCAAGTGTCAACAAGTATGATGAGTGAGCTGACCCTGCGTGAGGATCCCATAAACTGTGTTGCGCCACCGAGAAGTCAACGCGCTACTCCCCGATTCCGTGTCTATATTTGTACGATTGATGATATGTACGCACTTTGATGTAGAAACCGAGATCAATATCGTTATAACATTTTTCTAGACTGTTGGTAAACTGTCAGATTAACCATGATTTACTTTGAAATTCAATTTCATGGAAAAGTTTTACAGCTTTTCTGGTTATCAAAATATTTCTGGTCAGTTGTGCTTTTTTTTTATTTTCGTTCTGATTTGGTACTTTAAAGTGCACATTGATGTAGAAAATAACACGGCGAATTAACTATTAGGAATATTTAATGGCTCTAATCCAAGATTCTTGTAGCGTTTACAAGTGACCCAGAGGACCGTATAACGGTGTATGAATATTGAATACCATTTTGATATCCAATAATGAATATAAGTACATGCATAATTCAGTAATTTGAATGCTGTGATCAAGCGGGCGCGTCTGGCCCCCATGGTCTAAGATGCCGAGCCTAGTTGCCCAAAATGTCGCCCCGTGTCCGTACGAGGATCCGGCGGACGCAGTTTCGAATTTCAGATTGGCCACAATTTTGACATTTTATCTGCCATACAAGAACACGTGGTGACTGATGTGCTTCACATACTGACTACGTACGCCGCTGGCGACTGCGCTTGACGTAACGGGATCGGGGGCCAGGCTCGCGGACGTGGTTGGTGCATGTCATCGTATCCCAATTGCGTGGATAGATACTCATGACGTCAATCACTGGATTGTCTGGTCCAGCCTCGATTATTTACAGACTGCCCTCATATACCTGGAATATTGCTGAGTGCGGCGTTAAACGACAAACAATCAAACAAACACACGCCAATCGGTACCCACGGGCATGGGCGTATTCCAGTCACTCTATGATCGTACACAATCAGACCATCCCAGACGTCTCCAGTGTCCCGCCAGTAGATGTCGTATGTTGGAGATGATTTGTAGTACATCTGCCCAGTCTTCCTTCCCGCATCTGTTACAGCAGAGCCTGTTAGCGAGAGGTCATATATCGCTGCTCTGTGTCATATTGCTTATAAATGTCGCTGTGCTGCAAATGCTAGAAGTGACGAATGCAACATTACTGCATGATCTAGCATCTTAGATAATCATAGATCGTGAACAAAAGGTGGAAGGACATTATTGCAATGAAACGAAAACGTATCCACGACTTAATCTTCTTTCTATTCTGTGTAAAAAATTGTATCTTGGTTTGTTTTCAATCCGATCAGTGACACAAACACCTTACCAACCAACCAACCAACCAACCAACCAACTAACCAGCCAACCCAAGTTGAAACTCTTTCTTGTGTTCAGAGTTATCTGCCCTTGTCAGCACCTTTTTAAGAAGGATATGATCCATTTCATCTCGATAAATTACCACCTCTATCAATTAACATATCGAATAAATGATATATCGTTTACTTCAATTTTCTAAGGGATATGAAGAGAAAGACCACATGTCCAGTGACTACATGTTTAAAGTAAAAACATATTTAATTACGATACTTCTCATGGGTTTAGAGGTCGCGAGAATGCAAACATATAATTTATTTATCTAATAGAAGGAATAACACAACTGATGTCTCAAGCGTGTGAAACATTACAACACATGCATCATTGTTTTAGTCAGTTAACTGTAATCAAATACTGAACACACAGCATGACAATTCTGGTTTCCTTTTTTTCCGGAAGTCTTCCCCCTTTGAAGCCCCCCGGAAACCATCCTCCCATAATTGACAAAACATGTAGGTGTATTTTGTTCGATTACGGGTGAAACACATAAACAAATACTTGAAAAATACCAAAATGGGGAAGGTTGATGAAGGTATAGCCGGAACATTTCCGGAACACGGAAACCTGAATGTGATCACGTGTTTCATCGTGTGTAAACTTAAAACAGTGCTACCAGCATACCACGTGTACATCGTGTGTCTCGGCTCTTGTTTACTTGTATATTTCCTTTGTTTATTGAATTGTGAGCGCGTTTACTATCTTTATAAAGGAAGCGCATTTCCGCTTGTATGCACCAGTAAGGTTTTTCACATGGCGCCTTCTGTTTCAGGTCAACAGAATGCAATGGAAACTACGACACCACCTTAAGCCGTGTACGCGTAGAGAGAGGAAGTGGTAAGAAACACATTAAGCTATCATATGTAACAAATAGCCTAAGGGTCGTTCCTACAGCGTCCTGCTGCCACACAAGCAGCCTCTTTTATCAGTGCGATGTGTATTGGCCAAGACTGATGCCTTTGAAAGGTAACGATGTCACGTGACGACAATGTATGTTGCTACAACTTAAACCCTGCTGTATTCGAGGTCTGTCACGAAGTATGGCTGCTCTAGTGTAGCATCGTACCCTGATCGTATTGTTTGTCTACTAGGGTTCATGTCTGCTGATACACACTGCTGTGACGTGAATACTTGTACTGTGTTGTATTCACTGATTCGGATAGTCCTGTCGATGTCTTGGCGATTCTTTACAGGAATTTATCAGGCAACATCAATCTCGTTTACTGTCAAATTTTACGCAACAGGGTTTTACATGACATCCAGCAGGCTTAGTTTGTCGTGAAGTAGTGCGGAGTCCCGTTCCACAAAGCGACCACAGCGTTAAGACGCTTATACCTTTCGCGAATCATTATTTTGCTTTTGACTTCCCAATGGAATCTGTTTCGGTAGATAATCGATATTGAATATTCTATGACGTGAGAATTTGCGTATGGATTTTTAGCTCACCTGACTAAAGACTTGGGTAGGATCTTGGGCCCTACAAATGCGATATTTCTTAAGTTGAGTATTTCTCAAACCTTTGTTTGTCCTTTGTACTTCATGCACGAAGATTATCTAAAGGTGCCATGGAATGAACTGTAGTTACTCAGAAAAACTGATCCAAAGACGTTCATATGTTTGTCCCCATCAATGATGTCACCTGTCTTTGTTCTGGTACAGTTAGGGGCGACACGGCACCAATAGTGAACAAAGCACTTTGTTGCCATTCCTCTGCCATCTTTGTTCCAAACGTAACGATATTTGGTACTTGTGTATTTATAAGTTTGACTCAACATATACGTTTTTCGAGTTTAACTTTATTTAGACTTTGCGTTTTGTTCATGCTCTTAAATTCTCTCAAAACGCCGTATTTACTGAAAACATCTTTTCCTCTGATACTGCGAGACTGATAAAGCTGAACTTTGGCATGTCACAATGACATATTTCATTCCAATCTATAGAATATAGGGTTAGCTGAATATTTTAATATTTGAATATTTAAAGTGATCATCTTTATTAACATTTTAACAGTCGGTATCCAGGTGTGCTACAGTGCCTGAACTAAAGGGGTTGTATATGCATGGTGAGCTATGTAGGTTTTACCCCGCACTGAGCCCGGACATGTGTCGAGGGCTGTTTTGCTACTGGAGTGCAGAGTTCACTGTTCCCTCGTCGCCAGTCCTAATTATACAGCCCAGTAGCTCAGACGTTCCCTATACCCACCATGAACTACTCCAACCAAACCAGATTGTCCACCAACGGTTGTCCTATACGCCATGACCTACTCCCACCAAACCAGATTGTCCACCACCGGTTGTCCTATACGCCATGACCTACTCCCACCAAACCAGACTGTCCACCAACGGTTGTTCTACAGGTCTCATCATAGTCCTTGCCGTGACGCTATTCTCCAGAAACTGTGATGATTCTTGACCTGTCCACGAGCTCCTTGTGTCGTCCCGTTGTCCTTACTACAGAATCCGTTTGTTTTGAAGAACATACATAGACATTATACATCATCAGAAATACGAAACTCACCAGTTACAAAGTATCTGGCCTCACTTTGCTTTCTTTCCTGTTAGAATAATTTGGATATTGTAATGCATCTCGGAAATCCCACCTGTTCTAACCCAACATGTCCCGTCCAGCCTGCCGTACATTTTATTCAGACGCCTGTGAAGATTATGAGAACATAATACGACCCCATCACTGTTCAGTCATCCAGTCTACTACTATCTCCTGCTGTCAGACTGCCATTGGCTTATCTTTCTTGTGGTCACTTGAGTATTCTGCCTTCTCACCACCTGTATGTTAATGCTCCTCCCCGCGGACTGTTTCTATGTTCATGCCATCCTTCAGATCCTTGCCTTCACTAAACCCATCACATACATTCAAATCCATCTGCCCTTAAACCCTGAAACCTCCTTCTCGTCCATCTACCCTTAAACCCCGCACACCCCTTCATTCACTCTGCTCCTAAACCCCGCACACCCCTTCATTCACTCTGCCCCTAAACCCCGCACACCCCTTCATTCACTCTGCCCCTAAACCCCGCACACCCCTTCATTCACTCTGCCTATCGATGCAATTTGCAGATCCATATTCCTACCTATCGCTGCCCCTTACAGATCCCTATTCCTCCCCATCCCTGGACAATGAGAGCCATATTCCTCCCCATCGCTGCACTGTGCAGATCCATATTCCTCCCAATCGCTGGACTGTGCAGATCCCTATTCCTCACCTTCTCTGCTCTGTGCAGATCCCTATTCCTCTCTATCGCTGCACCCTTCAGATCCCAATTCCTCCTAATCCCTGGACCATGAGATCCCTATTCCTCACCATCACTGCAGTGTGCAGATCCCTATTCCTCCTCATCGCTGCCCTCTACAGATCCCTATTCCTCCCCATCCCTGGACCATGAGATCCATATTCCTCCCCATCGCTGCACTGTGCAGATCCCTATTCCTCCCCATCCCTGGACCATGAGATCCATATTCCTCCCCATCGCTGCACTGTGCAGATCCCTATTCCTCACCTTCGCTGCCCTGTGTAGATCCCTATTCCTCCCCCATCCCTGGACCATGACATCCATATTTCTTCCCATCGTTGCACTGTGCAGATCCCTATTCCTCCCCATCGCTGCACTGTGCAGATCCCTATTCCTCCACAACGCTGCACTGTGCAGATCCCTATTCCTCGCCATCGCTGCACTTTGCAGATCCCTATTCCTCCACATCGCTGCCCTCTACAGATCCCTATTCCTCCCCATCCCTGGACCATGAGATCCATATTCCTCCCCATCGCTGCACTGTGCAGATCCCTATTCCTCCTCATCCCTGGACCATGAGATCCATATTCCTCCCCATCGCTGCACTGTGCAGATCCCTATTCCTCACCTTCGCTGCCCTGTGCAGATCCCTATTCCTCCCCCATCCCTGGACCAGGAGATCCATATTTCTTCCCATCGTTGCACTGTGCAGATCCCTATTCCTCCCCATCGCTGCACTGTGCAGATCCCTATTCCTCCACAACGCTGCACTGTGCAGATCCCTATTCCTCGCCATCGCTGCACTTTGCAGATCCCTATTCCTCCACATCGCTGCACTGTGCAGATCCCTATTCCTCCCCATCATTGGACAATGAGATCCATATTCTTTCCCATCGCTGCTCTGTGCAGATCCCTATTCCTCTCTATCGCTGCACCCTTCAGATCCCTATTCCTCCCCATCCCTGGACCATGAGATCCATATTCTTCCCCATCGCTGCACCCGACAGATCCCTATTCCTCCCCATCCCTGGACCACGAGATCCATATTCTTCCCCATCGCTGCACTGTGCATACATGTATCTCTTTTCCTCCCCATCGCTGCACTGTGCAGATCCCTGTTCCTCTTCTGTAGCAGGTCATGCTCAGCTTGTCAGAAGATCTCACTATTTCTCTCTATCACTGCACCATGCAGATCGCCATTTCTCCGTATCGCTGCACCATGGAGATCCATATTTCTCCCCATCGCTGCACCATGCAGATCCATATTTCTCCCCATCGCTGCACCATGCAGATCGCTATTTCTTCCTATCACTGCACCATGCAGATCGCCATTTCTCCGTATCGCTGCACCATGGAGATCCATATTTCTCCCCATCGCTGCACCATGCAGATACATATTCCTCCCTATCGCTGCCCCCTACAGATCCCTGTTTCTCTACTGTACCAGGTCATGCTCAGCTTGTCAGAAGATCTCCCGCTTCGTTACTGACACGATCTTTCTCACGTTCGTCTTTTCACTTTCCACACCAATCACCCGCATAGTGTACCTGTTAGCCACCATACTGCGCATGTCGGGAACCGCTAATGTTATCAAAGAAGTCCGATATGAAAGCCTGTTTGTTTGGATAATATTTGACACAGAACATCTCACAGGTATTCTATATTTACCCACATGTTTGTGTGATGCAAATATATCCGCGTAGACATCAATCAATGTCGGCACCTTCAGCCCCCTGTCAGGCAGTACCCAGCGGGTCACCCCGAGACAGATCAGCGGACCACGCCTCACTGGCTCCACCCACAACAGTCTGGGCTAGAGGAAATGTGATTCCTCACACCAGCCACTGCGCACATAGACGGAACGCCAAGAGTAAAAAGACTGCCATGAAAAAAAGTTCTATTTGTATGAACGCCAAAACTTTTAAATGTTTTATGTGTCTATAGATGTTTGTCCATGGTAACCAAATAATGTAAGGTAAGCGTCTCGTGTGCTGAATCCAGTCATTGTAGTCATTTACGTAGTTTTTATTTATTTCTACATATTTAAAAGCGCGTGCATTTTATTCAAAATTAGCCCTACTTTCTAGACACAAACTGTATCTTTGGCATCTTTGAGTGCTAGAGAGGAGCTGATGATCTGGCACGAGTGCGCCGAGAGGTGTATGGATAGATGTGTGGAACACGAGGCTATCACTGATTCATCCAGACATCTGCGCCGTGTGGATATGATACAGGGCATATACTGCTATATGAAACGATAAATCCACAATGTTATACTTAGTGTTATCAAATAGGTTATCAATATCCAAGTTCAGGGTATTCAACAAGGAGTGAGTAAACAGTAGTCCAGTAATGAACACACAATGCCATTTAGATAGTGGTCAAACGGAACAAATTACAGATTCTAGTTAGTCTTTCGTTTGAGTCCCATCTGGGATTGGAACCCAGACTCCTAGAGTCAGAAGCCCAATCACCAGCAGACAATATTAGCGATGTAACCCTCTCAGCCACCGAGGCTTGAAGCTGGATGCCTCAGTGGCGGAGGGGGGTTAGATCAATGACTTTGTGTGCTGTTGATCCCGAATATAAC